GATGTAAAAATAACCCATGGAGGTCATCAAAGTCATCCTTATGAGTAAATACCTCCTCGGATAACACCGGTCTCTTAGACCTAAACTCAAATATATCCTCTTCCATTTGAATTGAAGAAAAGAAAAAAGGGGGGGGGAAAAAAAAACAGGTATATAAACCTGTTAAAAGGTGATATTCCAGCAGCTCAGTATAACTAAGTTAGTAGATAATAGTCAAAACAGCAGAAAGAATAATTAACGAGCGCATGGAGATGGGTAGCAAGCAGCTGGCATGAAAGGCACAAACCTCAAACCTTCACACTAAAATAACAACACATGCAGCGCTACAAATGGTTAATATAAATTAACATATAAGGTAATAAGTGATGGGCTACTGGTGCTTATTGGTGATTGATAAGTGTCCTCATAACATGATGCAATAGTCCTAGTAAGCCATGCAAAAAGTGGTTAAAAAACAGGTCACTCACAGGGTATCCCAGAGTCAAAGATGGCCGCCGGCCTCCACGAGGTACGGAACGGCATGACGTCACCGGCTAGGCTCCACCCTGACGCATTTCGTGCGGACGAGCACGTTATCAAAGGGTGCGAGCACTAGCCGGACCCCCCCCACTACACCGTATCCCTCGCAAGACCAATATAACATACCCACCTTTAATAGGTTTCAAGGGTTTAATCAGATGCACACACCTTTTTATGGGGATAGAAATTTTAGACCACATTCTAATCATAACCACAACCACAATAATAATAGAACAGGTGGTAATCAAAATGGTAATGGAGGGCACCCCGCGTAAACCACAACAAGGGGGCACCTGGAGAAATACAAAAAACTATAATCAAGCGAATTATGGTAATAATAATTATATATCACCAAGAAGGAGGGAGAGGTGATTGGACCTCAGGGAGGCACCAATACAACTCCAGTCAAAACTGGGGCTCATCACCAAGGAGATACCCTTCCAATAATTACGGCCCCCAATACCGGGACCACCCACAAGCTTCTGTACAAATGAATGAGAATTATTCTTATTCGAATTCCGACCAACAATACTCTCATCCACAAAGTCAATTTTTAGGAATAGGCCCGGCAAGAAAAAGAAGCACACGGTCAGAGGAAGAAGAGGAGGAAAGAGGGTACATAGACAACAAAAAAAGAAAGACTTAAACTCTAGAGGTATTTTTAATTTTAGTAAACAAGAATTAACTGAGAATGAATTAGACCTCCTAAACAAAGGGCTGAAATTTTCCCCAAGAGCTAAACTTAACAAATTTGACACATATATTGACATTCACAAATTCACGAGGAAACTAGCTATGAAAAGATATTTTCTGAATGCCCCTCCCACGAGTATATCCTCTAACCCTGCCACTAGTATTTTTAAACATTCAGGCCTTAAGAATGCCTCCCTGTTCAATCCCCCGGCCCATTCGTATGTTAATGTTTTTAAAAGTTTAGTTTTAAAAGACCTAGAAAAAATTAAGGTCAGAAATAGAGACAACTATAAATACAGAGATTCCCTGGTAAAATCATTACTTGAAGAAAAAGATCTGGTAGTGCGCCCAGCCGATAAAGGTGGGGGGGGTAGTTATTATGGACAAGACAGACTATGTCAAGCAGGTATATCTTATCTTAAATGATAAGAACACCTATCAAACTCTTGATCGAAACCCTCTGGTCCCTTATAAAAGATCATTGAGGAGTATTATTAACAAAGGTTATGATATGGGCATTTTAACCAAAAAGGAAAAAGATTATTTGTGCCCTATCTCACCCAAATTACCGGTCCTATACTGCTTGCCTAAGATACATAAAGATCTGACTAACCCCCCGGGGAGACCTATAGTGAGTGGCATTGGCTCTCTAAGCTCAAGGATTGGTGAATACATCGATCAATTTTTGCAGCCCCTGGTGGCCAAGACACCAGCATTTCTAAGAGACACAAAACAAATGCTTGTAGACATTAAAACTATTAAACTGAATTCCCCTACATATTTGGTTACAGCAGATGTGTCAGCACTTTATAGTAATATCAAACATGATGATGGAATGGCGGCAGCAGATTTTTATCTTAATATGGCCACAGACATCCCTTTAATACAAAAAACATTTATTTTAGACCTTCTTAAATTTGCCATGACACACAATTATTTTTGGTTTGGGAATGAATTTTATTTACAAACTACTGGTGTTGCTATGGGCGCTAAGTTTGCCCCAAGTCTGGCAAATTTATTTATGGCCAGATGGGAGGAAGATCTCATCTACTCTAGGGAATGGCCTAACCTTTTGTTTTATCGGAGGTACATTGATGATGTGTTCTTATTGTGGCAGGGGGATGAATTCACTCTTAAGAATTTTTTTATTACATTAAATTTTAATGAATTAAATATTAAATTTTCTTACCAGTATGATCTTAAACAAATCGATTTTTTAGATCTTACCCTTTTTGTATCAGATATGGATATTTTACCTAAAACATTTTTTAAAGAGACGGACCGCAATAGTTTTATTCCACTTGATAGTTGTCATCACCCAAAATGGTTAATGAATATTCCGAAGGGCCAATTTCTTCGGATAAAAAGAAACTGTGACAATATTGAGGATTTCCATAGACAATCTACAATTTTAAAAGAGAGGTTTTTGGAAAAAGGGTATGATGAACCTTTCTTGACTAAAGCAATAGAGGAAGTACAAAACGCAGATAGGAATGAATTACTCAAGCCCACTACAGCTGCCATTAATAACATTGTCTGTCCCTTTATTACAAATTTTAATACCCAATATAAAGATGTTTCCAAAATAATTAAGAAAAACTGGTCCATCCTTTTGAATGACCCACTATTGGGAAAAGTACTACCCGACCGCCCGGAGATTATTTTCCGGAGAGCACCCCCCCTCAGGTTGTCTTTAGCCCCCAACATTGTGAACCCCCCAAAAACTGTAACATTTAATCTTGGGCATAAAGGTTTTTATCCTTGTAATAGGTGCATGATCTGTGTTGATAATGGTATACACAAGAGACCGGTGAAGACCTTTGCTTCTAATATTACCAACAGAACCTATGAAATTAAAAACACCGTCACTTGTAATAGTACATACGTTGTTTACCTATTAGAGTGCGGCTGTGGGAAACAATATGTTGGGAGGACAACAAGAAGGTTACGGGATAGACTGCGTGAGCACTTAAAAAATATTAAAAAAGGTTTTAAGGACCATTCATTATCTTTACATTATCGACTGTGTCACAATAACAATCCCAAATGCTTGAAATTTGCTGCTATAGACATTGTGAAACCACATTGGAGGGGCACTTACAAAAAGAGATCGGTTTCCAAGTTGGAAACCAAGTGGATTTATGAGCTACAGTCTTTTTTCCCTCAAGGCTTGAATGTAGACCTTGACATTAATTGTTTTATTGATACAAGTTGATATGTTTAACCCACTTTTAATTAATTTTTAATTTTTTAATTTCTTTTATTCACCTAAATGCATATACGTATATGTTTATACATTTTATATATATGGCTTATACAATGTTTTTATACTATGTGAAGTGTAAGTTATCCTGGCTCAGGGGGTTGTTTTTAGGCATGGTTTCCAGTATTTATGAATTATTTATCTTAATTTTATTGATGTCTGGCTATAACCATACTATATTTAAATATATTTATATGTAAGTGCAATAAGTGCTATGTAATTAGCCTTCATTTGGCAAATTTGATTGCACCTGTATTAAACTCCATTATAAGGGAGTCAGGGATAGTGCAATAATATATATAATACTCCTTATGGCCAGTATACATTGTAATATGGATGGTTTTCTGTTTCCTGCATACTGGTCTTCTATATAGTAGTGCAGGTGAGATAAATTCACCTAAATGCATTGATCGCCTACCCTGAGCTGCGATAACCAAGAAAATGGCCGCTATCGTATGCTTTACGCATGCGCGAGCTGGCCAAAATGGCGTCACCGGCTTTTTTCGTTTCACTGCGCATGCGCGGGAAACACTATATATGAGTTTGTCCGGCTAGTGCTCGCTCCCTTTGATAACGTGCTCGTCCGCACGAAACGCGTCAGAGGGGAGCCTAGCCGGTGACGCCACGCCGTTCCGTACCTCGTGGAGGCCGGCGGCCATCTTTGACTCTGGGATACCCTGTGAGTGACCTGTTTTTTACTCTGCAATAAAGGCTTTTTTGAAACGTACTACACTATCAGTGTTTTTTGGGGTGGGCTTTTTGGTCAAGCCCCCCCTCTCTTAAGGTGGATACCTCATATGAGTGCCGCCTGAGGTGAGGAACCTGGATCAGTGCTACTAAGGGTCTCTGGATGTCTGGAATCCCCCTGCTGGCCAAGGAAAAGTTATCCCCATCAGAGTGACAGCTTGCCAGATGATCCACACAGGTTCAGCTTTCTAGGACCAGGAGTGGTCTGACAACTCAAATGCGCATACTATGCGTTTTCTGGTGAGTGCATAATATTAGACACTTTTCAGCACGGAGTCAACCACTTTTTGCACGGCTTACTAGGACTATTGCATCATGTTATGAGGACACTTATCAATCACCAATAAGCACCAGTAGCCCATCACGTATTACCTTATATGTTAATTTATATTAACCATTTGTAGCGCTGCATGTGTTGTTATTTTAGCTCTTTTTAAATATTTGTACTGGGCCAGGGAGTCAGAAAGTAATGAAACTATTATATTAGCATGATAGCCAGGCACATCGCCTTTTTCAACAGGAGATCAGCAAAATCAGCCCTTCTTTTTAGCACTGATTTCCATGATGAACAATCCAAAGTTAGACCTGTCAGGACTCGTATGCTGTTCCAAAAAAAGTTATTTTGTGTAAAAAAAAAAAGTGTCTATTTACACATACCAAGGATCAAGGACAATGGATCTGCACCCTCCCCCACTCATCCTCTAATATAAGAAGGATGATTCGTAACAATATGTGAAAGTTGAAGTACTGTAGCAGTGAACAGGTAGAACTGAGAGGGATGGCTCCAACTTTCCAAAAAACACTGCTTTTCACCATCATTGGTAAGTACAGCTGTTATATTTATATGTGGGAATTTCAGCAATGTTCACATAGATATGTGTAGCCAAACACAAAGGTGCAATTACACAGCCCATAGGTAGCTTAACAAATAACTTTGAAGCTAGCATACCGTATATTGAAGGGATATTAAATTGCCTGACTTCGAAACCCAATTGTTTAAATATTGATAGTGCCCATAAATATTGGACAGTAACCAAGTTGTTTAATGTGTAAACCCAAAATCTATTTTTCAGCATGTATGGTATCATTTCCCATTAGAAGACTTCAACACCCTAGACCTAGAGACTACGATTAAGCCCCAAAAAAAGACCAAACACGTCTGAGGAGTACAAGAAAAGTTTGTTACCATGAGATCCTGATAGTAAAAGCACTTCTTGTTGCTGGCTGACACTGCCACTGCCTCGCAATTAATAGCAGTGTTTGCAATCTGCCATGCAAGCTTCTTGAGTTGGCCATTTGCCAGCCTATCAGGTGTGTGCATGAAGGCAGTCCAAAAGCCACCCAAAGGAGCTTCCATGGCAGAATGCTAAACTGATAATTGCTAACATTAATTTAATGTTTTGGACAGAACAGTGAGAACTGATTCACACATGTGCGGTGCGGATTGAAGCTCAGGTTTCAAAGCTAAGTGATACAGTAGTTGTTCAGTTCGGGTTTACATCATGTTCAGGACAGGTTTAGATCAGGATTTTATCCTGATCACACATGTGGTTTAGAAACAGTTCCCATAGAAGTCAATAGATCATAATCCGCACCTAAACCAGACTGCACTGCTCAGAAATTGTACAGGACTCTTTTTCAATCCACACTGAATCCGCAACTCCAGTGCACCAGACATATATGAACAGGCACCATAGGAAGCAATGTTATTTCATATGTCATGCGGGTTGGATGCAGTTCAAACCACATCCAATCTGCATATATGTGAAACAGCACTGACCGTCTGTCAGGTTTTTATTCCTGTCTGTCCTCGGGACAGCAAATGCGGGGAAATCTCTGCAACAGGGACATTACAATAAAAGTGCTTTTCTACATAGAGTGGGGAGGAGTTTGAAGCTTAAGAAAGCTCTTTCGGGTTTTAACTGCAGTCCATGTACCCATTGGGGAGATTTCCCCTCATTTTTTTTTTGATAAGAGACAAAAGGATGAGAAATATCCCCAATAAGAACACAAACAGCAATCACTCGACTCCTTTCATGGTAGATACAATTTTGGCTCGAGAGGGACTGTGAATCTATGGACTTGTAGCAGGGTGTTACAGGGGCTTGTGTAACGTGGTAACCTGTCACTCAAAGAATGTAGTTGTCCCTGCGGGAAACAATACATAAGGCATACTACTAGAGAATGACATATTCACCTCAATGAGCACATTGCGAACATCAAGAAGGGTTTAGATGGCATAGTGTTTCACGACATTACGCCCTTTCTCATAATAAGAACCCTGAAGGGAATGCCTTTCTTGCCAGAGATAAATATATTCCCCATTGGAGAGGGGGTAACGCTAAGAGAGAGATATCCCATTCTGAGGTCAAGTGGATATATGACCTCAAGACCTTTGCACCATATGGCCTGAACATTGATTGGGACATTATTTGTTTTATTAATAATAATTAATCTTATTAATTTATATTTTGTCTGGATTTGCTGTAGAGATGGCCGGCTGTTCCTTTATAGGTTATTTGATTTATATATTACCTTACCAATTTCTTTTAATATGTAAAAAAATGTTTTTATCTATTTCCAACAAAAACCTTTTTGGAGGTGTAATTACACTGCTCACCCCTTGGGGGTATATCACTGCTTGATGGTCTTAATTTAAATTATATTGCTCACCTCTAGGGGATTGAGACGTTCAGTTTTTAGTTTTACATTGTCCTGATTATATTGTTTGCATTTATTTGTTTACCAGTAGGGGGCCGTGTAAACAATATTTCATATTGAGACTTCCTTATAATGGTTTCATTGTACTGTTGGAGTGCTATTTGTATATGTATGTTTTTAATGGTTCGATTTGTCTATGGCTGTGTCATGGCAACCATACTGTTTAGCGAGTGTGACCAATCACAGCTGGTCCTCTCTCTGTGATCCTCCTATGAATGTGTGATGACGGTCATACGTCCTTGATCCCTGATGATGTCACTTCTGATAAAACGCGTGAGTGGGAGCTAGGGCGTACATCACCACACATGCACGCACACCCATGGCCATTTTGGAAGTGGGAACACACGTATTTTGGCATTTTTCAGCGCTGTTTTGAATCCTCTTTCATGTAAGTGCAATGCTTTGGTTTGAATAAACTTTGCTAAGGATTTACACTATGGAAAGTTTTTTGTTCTATGCACATACCTATTACATGCTTGACATCGATGATCCACGTGGAGTGGGTGAACGTTGTCTGACCTACGTTTGGAGGCTGTGGAGGAGGTTGGAGTGGTTTCCATTTGATCATATATTTGTGCCTTATTTGACCACACTATAACATGATGGTCAATTTTATCTGGTAAGCCTCCCTTGAGCACTGAGTGGGGTGACACGTGTTGCACTTGGATGTGTCTGATCATCATATTAATTGAAGATAAATGACTGCACTTAAGGATATTTTACACTGAATGGGGTGATATGTGCTACACTTGGACACACATGATCATTCTAGTGATTGAAGACATATGATTGTATTTAAGGACTTTTCACAGTGTCCTTTTGTACTTGAACTTATTGACTCAGTGTTCTTTTTGTTTTTTCCTTTTCTTTTTACTATATGAATTGTTAGTATCCACATTTCTAGCACTGCACTTTTATATGTATATTACAGGGGCTTGCTTAGAAAACAAATCAGAGACATTACTGCTGCTGTACTCTGGGCATTACAGGGAACCTTACAGAAAACCAACTTGTATTCTTCAGATGGTTCTCGGTGGCATCTGGAGAAACTTGTGCAAACTCTTTGTGAGTGAAAGCAGGAGAGTCCTGGCTGGGCCAGGTTAGAGAATGCAGAGAGCTGTGAGATTTCATGTTGGGAAGGACTTTACCCCTAATAGCAAAGAGTCATTTGGGGACAGGCATGACAACGGTTTCACCATTTAAGAGACTTACAGTATGTAGTCATAAGCACCTGAGCACTAGACGCTATGGAAGATGTTTATTTTACTTACTTTAAGCCACCATGTTGGAAATACCTCCTTATGACTTTGTTTTCTGACAAATTATGTTGGAGTAAAGCTGTTAAAATGCAACTTGAACCCAGATTGGTATTCTGTGCCTGTAACGTTCTAGAATGAAAAGTGAGTGAGAATGCTACTGGCCTCTGTGGAAAAGGAGTAATTGGTCTGTATAAGGGAGGGTACTGTGATGGAAAAAAGCGAATAATGGAAAAAAGTAATTTGTATGGAATTTGTTAATGATAGCAAAAAAAACAATAAACTAGAGCCCCTGCAGCCGGAAACAATAAACCCCCCTCCAGCGACAATAGACTCCCTGCAACAAAATAATGTCCCAGCAATAATAGATCAACCCCAGCAACAACAGCCCCCACAGAAGCAACAATAGATCTCCTAGCCACCAAAATCAATAGACCCTTCATCAGCCAGCAACAATAGACCCCTCTCTCAACAGTAGATGCCTCCCAGAAACAACAGTTCCCCCACTAGCAACAACAGATTCCCCTAGCATCAATTGAACCTCCAGCACACATCAGCACCCCTTGCCATTACATTCAGTTTTGGACGTGCCAGATTTATGTTCCCCCATGTTCCCGTTGAAAAAAAGTCCTGCCTGGAGCTATTGAAATTGAGCTCTTTAGTCAGGGAGTTCCCATTCTGATGTTAAAGTGTGTAATGTTGAGCTGTAGATATAACCTGGGTTACTGAGCCTCCTATATGTACATATTATAGAAATCCCTTGAAGGATTATGAGGCCTGGAAGGAGAAGTTGCATTTCTGATGTATTCCAGGCACTGGGGAAAGGCTGAATTTAACAATCTGCTACTCGTGGAGTATAGATTACCCTACACACTGATCTGAGTTTTGTATTTGTCGGTTTCATGTACTTTTTTTGGCATGTGATAGGGGTTCACAAAACTGATAAATCAATTTTTATACCAGTTCTCAGCCAAAATCTTTTTGTTTGGGCAGGTTTGATTCCCAATCTACATTGGGATTAAATCTATAATAGATACAATCTATTATAGAGAGAGACTACAAATTACAATAACTGAATACTGTATATACTCCCAGCTGCTGTGCGACTTTATGAAAAATAACTGGTAATTTTCATAGACATTGCTGGTCCAATTAAAAGTTGATATACAGCATAGTAAATTGAGTCTCTCCTTTAATCCATTCAGTCATGCAGATATAGCTTTTTGCAAACAGCCATCAAATTTCCATTTCTTTAATTTAAACTTTTTTTGTGTGTGAGTAGCTGAATAAATAAGGCATTTTATAACCACTTGCAGAAGTGCATACCACTATGGGTTCACATGACCTACTGTGCCGCAAAGCATACATTATCATGCACTGAGTTAATTCATTCAAAATTAATTTTGTAGAGCCGGGGTTCCAAACTTTTCAGTATGACGGCCACATCATATATTTTACAAGTATTTGAAAGCAGTGAAAAAATTTGTTTTTCCTAAATGAACAAATCAAAAGTTTCTTTCTTTGGACTCCCCGTCACAGTCCCCCTTGCATCTGGGTCCCAGTCAGAGTCCTCTCTTACATCAGAGGACCACGTAAAATCTTGCAGCGGGCCAGATTTGGTCCATGGGCCTCACTTTGGAGACCACTGGTTCATTTTGTAAACATTGCAGCCCACCAGAATGTGACCCCATACAAAGAAATGAAGGGTGCTGCTTCAGGCTCTAATAGTTCCTTATATGCTTACAACCGCTGGGAGTGCAACCAGGGAAAGAGCATGTCTCAGCTCCATAGAAGTCAATGAGGAAGGAAAAGAAGTTCCCTCATGTGAAGAGTAGAAGCAGCCTCAGCCTAGACTCCATCCAGTCCACACCCCTGACATGTTTCACCCCACCCCATCGACAGGTAGGGTTGCCACCTCATCCCTTTAAAACCGAACACATTACACAGGTTCTGAGGGTAATTTATTACAGATAAGGCACTAAATAAATGTAATTACCACCTTAATAAGCCACAGAACCTGTGTAATCAATATGTATTTAGTTTTAATGGGATGTGGTGGCAACCCTATCCACGGAGTCTAGTCATGAGAATGTCTAAGCCCCTCAAAGCACATCATTGCAGTACAGGTGCATTCTGGTGCTGCTATTAAACATGGATGACACTGCAAAGCACCATCATGTATACAGTATACTGTGTTACTGCACATTATTGTAACATGGTGGTGTGAATGACCTCTAAATCTTTACTAATAATTTCCTATGAGAGCTCATATGGAATAAGGTCAGTTAAAGTGCCTCTGCAGATTTCCTATTTCAACATGCTGTGTGTTTTATTTTCATTTTGTACATATGTTTCTGAAAACTTTATGAAGGCATGTGCTGTATAAAGCTTTTTAATTTACAGGTGCTAGAACTGAAGGCATTAAATGCACTAGGTAAAAGAAGCAGTATAATATTTAATCAGTTGTAAAAAAACAATGCTGTTATCTTTTGTGACCAAAGTAACACCACGTTGCTTTAATTTTTGACACTTATACTTCTACATATTTTATAATCATTATTTCCCATTTCTGTCTAGGCTTGAGTTTTGCAGCACCAAATGCAAGACAAGTTCGATGGTGTGTTATATCAGATCTTGAGCAGAAGAAGTGCAATGATCTAGTGGGATCCTGCAATGTCCCTGACATTACTCTTGTTTGTGTGCATAAATCCTCCACTGAGGACTGTATGACAGCTATAAAGGTAATCATTGTTGCTGATTTATACAGTCACATCACAACACTGTACATTGAGGACATTCATGGAGCTATAACTACAATATTATACTAAGTATTTATACATGAAACAGTTTAAAAGGGTAGTGTGCAAAGATCAATATCCTATGTCAGTCAGTTAATTAGAAATCACTTATCTGACCATGGCAGATTAAATTCTACACTTTATATTCAGTATGATTATTGTTCTCTGAACTGCTGCTGTATAAACATGTGTATCCACTAGCCTCATCTGTTATACTGTATATACTGTCATATTATTGGAAAATTGGTACTTATACTGTACATGATCCAGATCTGGAGTTGTATATTTCACCAGCTTGGTATTTTCACCATTCTGCCATGTTACTGTCTTGGCCTCATTTGAGAATTTTCCCCTTACCTCCTTTACTGGTGATAGGGCTCTCTTTCTCTCTGTTAACAGAGCCCTGATTCCTTTCCAGTAATGACCATGCTAGTCAAGGGTCCCTCCTACTGGACATATGCAGAAAGGAAAAAATGTGTTTAGTTTTGTTTTAGATAAAACAAGAATGCAGAGATTCAGAAGGGAGCTCAAAAGCACCACATCCCAGTAAACATGAAAATTTCGCATCTATACCCTATCGCATCTATACTATCGGTACAGTTTGTTGGTGCAAACCACATGCCAAGTGTTTTGCATATTTCAGTGTTCCATTCAAGCAGTCATATAATAGATGGTAAGTTGCCCTTCAGTAAGTTTGGAGACATTTGGTGTCAAGGTCCTACCCTTTCCCAGAGGTTATGCTGCTCCATGTGCTGGCATCCATCTTGGATTTCTGCAGAGCATGGTGGGAGTCTTTTATGCCTTCAGGCCTCTGCAGTCCATCCCCCAGAGGGGTGTGGTTGATCACATATAAGCCTGTTGTTCGCACGTGCTCTTTGCATTCGTGTCTTGTATGTTCGTGTTGAAACAGCTCTGTTTCTACTCTCGTGGCTCTCCTGGAAACTGACTCGTCTTTTGACTACACTATTCTCTGCGTTATCCATTTATCTGACCTCCCGTTGCTGAACCCGACTTGTGACCTGTTATTCTTGTCTACCATTCTGTACTGTCTGTCCCGTTGTTATCGACCCGGCCTGCCCGACTACGCTATTGTCTTATCTGGTTCCTATCAGCTACACGCCATTGGCGGCAGCCATTACCGTAGCTGGGGTGCCTCGGGGGCCGCGACCTGGTCCCTGGCTGTGTCAAGTCCATCCCCACCATCAGGGGCCCTGGTGAAGGGCAGCCTGGGACTTAGACTCCGCGCCCTGAGGGACTCCGGTCTGTGGGTGGTGGTTGTCATCAGTCAGTGCGTGACCCTGCCATTAGGCCTGCCTGTCCATTCCACAGCTCCTGCCCTGACATTTGGTACATTCAATATCTCCCGAAGAAGCTTCAATTAGGCGAAACATGTTGAGAATTATTATTCCGATTGTGTAAAACTGACCAAAACATCACTATCAAGTTTGGTTTACCCAGTTTGTTATTTAAATACGAGAATTTTTATTGATTGTAATAAACTTTATAATTTTTATCTTCAGTTTTTCTAATTTTTCATGGCACCTCTAAAGTCCTTTCTCCTCCCCTGTTTTCTCTTTCTTTGCATCCCCTTTTTCTTGATATTTTCATTTTAGATAGATTTGTTATGTTACTTATTTTGTTTTGTTGATTCATTTCAGAATTTATTTAGTTTCATTTTGGTTATTCATTTTCTAACAAATTCCTAATTTTCAGAACAATTTGAGTTTGGATCGGTCGAAAATGTATTCTGTGTGCAGAATAGCTGGTTACTAAGGCGTGCAACAACAACCTAGTCCTTAACAATGATGGGGTACTATGTACCCCATACTCATTCACATATGCACCCCCCTGCAGACCCTCACAACCATCGGGCCAGAGTTGTGGGAAAGAGGCCCTTGTCCCCATCAACATGGGGATGAGGTGTTTTGCCCCCCTGCCCCCCTTCCGAAAAGCACCCCCCCCATGTTGAGGGCATGTGACCTGGTTTGCTTCTGGAAGGGGGTAGCTTGTTCATCCCCCCTCCTTTCCTGGCCTGCCAGGCTGCATGCTTGGATAAGGTAAGGTATGAATTTTGAGTCGACCCCATGCGTGGGGTTCCCCTTAAAATCAATGCAACACCTGAAGGGCCCTAAAGGGCTACTAACCCCTGCTTACACCCCCATTCATTGTCCTGGTATCATACAGATATAAAATTGAATGAACATCTCTCTAAAGAGGAAAACAACAACATTAAACCTTTCGCCTCACTTTCACGATAAGGGGCACCATCTGGTAGTTGTTGTTATTATAATGGTAAATAAACTACAAAAATTCACTGCCAGTAGAAAAATGATTAATTAACAAACTTATTTCAGGATGGACAAGCAGATGCCATGTTCTTAGATAGTGGAGATGTTTACAAAGCTTCAATGGATCTTTATAATCTGAAGCCAATTATTGCAGAACCGCACAGTTCCCAGAGAGGTAAGTCTGAAACCTACAATTCATGACATAAACCACATTAACATGGTGTCACAAAATATAGCTAAGTAGACTAAATAGAAAACAGCTAAAATAAAGAAAGATTTGTTGAGGTTATTTTCCTAAATGCATTTGTGTCTAGAACAGAACAATGTACAAATGAAGGACTCAAAACTCGGAAAGATAAGTTGCTCCCTACATCAGATAGCCAATACAGCCTTTAAGTGACATAAGAGAGTACACAAGCCTTCAACCCTATTAGCACAGCTACCACAGCTGCCAGATAAGATGGAGATTGCTGTAGGCATGAACTTGGGTTTGGCTCAAATCCATAAACTAGCTGTCATTGCTGGACCAATAAGCTGCTGGCACGAGATTCCCATGACATTGATTTAATATGGCCATGTGCCTATATTGAGTCAAAGAACTGTGGAAGTTCTTCCCCTCATGTGCAACCTCCTGGGACATGTGGAGAGGGAGTCTGTGGGACCTGTCTGTGTAGGGACCCCTCCCTCAGTGGGGAGCCGGCTGTGAAACAGCCTGAAGTCACAGCTCGCTTACCACAATCAACATGGTGGTGCCAGGGAACTGAGAACTGGCGAAGAGCCGTCTGGGTTGAAAACAGCTTTTTGTTAAAAGTCAGCAGCTACAGTATTTGTAGCTAGGAAAAGAGAGGAAGGCGCCTCTAAGTGCAGTATTGACAATGTATTTAGTAAACAATGGATGCATTGCACTTACAAGATAAATAGGTAAAAAGACTCATCATGTGGTGTAATAAGATCCAGGTGGGACATCCAGCCGTCCAGCAGCAAACTCTGTCTAACAAACGCACCATATATAATATACATTTTACAGTATTTGTTGCTGCTGACTGTTATTTTTATTTTTTAACAATGTCTGAAGTTGCTCTTTAAAATAGAATCAAACTCTCACAAAAGAATACTCGGTTTAATAAAGTGAAAACTGGATTACTTTTTATAGTAAAAGAAGATTAAGATTTTCACTACTTACCGTATTTGCCGGCGTATAAGACGACTTTTTACCCCTTGAAAATCTTCTCAAAAGTCGGGGGTCGTCTTATACGCCGGTATACGGCATACTGACACTTTTTTAGGGGGGCGGCGCGGTGCCGCCGCCGCCCCCCCCTTCCAACGGACACTAAGTACAGGGGTGGGCAGGGGCTGTTTCTTACCTGGTTCCGGTCCCACAACGATCCGGTCCAGGAGGCGCAGCTGCTCCTTCAGTTTGGACACTGGATGTTCGCGCGGCTGCTCGGCTCCGCCTCCTCACCGGTGATTGGCCGCCAGAACTGTAGCTCAGGAAAGGCACACAGGCGGCCAATCACCGGCGAGGGGGCGGAGCCGAGGGGCCCCGCGAAAATCGAGTGCAGGACCAGCAGGTAAGTGGTCAGTGTAGAGGTGCTGCTGCAACCACATATGCTGGTTGCAGCAGCACCATACGAGAACAGGGTCAGCAAGTGTCAGTGGGAGGAATAGTGCCCCATCATTGGTGTCACTGATACCAATGATGGAGCACTATTCCTCCCACTGATACCAATGATGGAGCACTATTCCTCCCACTGATACCAATGATGGGGCACTATTCCTCCCACTGATACCAATCATGGGGAACTATTCCTGCCACTGATACCAATGATGGGGCACTATTCCCCCCACTGATACTAATGATGGGCCACTATTCCTGCCACTAATGCCAATGATGGGGCACTATTCCTGCCACTGATACCAATGATGGGGCACTATTCCCCCCACTGATACTAATGATGGGGCACTATTCCTGCCACTGATACCAATGATGGGGCACTATTCCCCCCACTGATACTAATGATGGGGCACTATTCCTGCCACTGATACCAATGATGGGGCACTATTCCCCCCACTGATACTAATGATGGGGCACTATTCCTGCCACTAATGCCAATGATGGGGCACTATTCCTGCCACTGATACCAATGATGGGGCACTATTCCTCCCACTGGTGTGCATTGGTAGAGGGGTAGTCTTATACGGCGAGTATAGCCCAAACACTACATTTTAGCAGGAAAAGTAGGGGGTCGTCTTATACGCCCAGTCGTCTTATACGCCGGCAAATACGGTAGCTCTTTTCCCTCTCAGACTTTGTACATCCTGTAGACTTTTTTCTCAAGAATATGTCACCCTGGGAAACGTAATGCTTTATTGTATGATTTAAAGTATAAAGTGTAAACCCTTACCCTGTAAAATAACCCATTCAGTGTAAAATAGAAATGAAAGGCCAAACATTTGTGTATAGATATGAAACATTATAATTCTATGTTTTCCTTTATTTTGTTTAAATGATCACATACCCTCTGTTTTCAGCTAAATAAAGAAATTAGAGAGCTGGGGGAGGAGAACCAGCAGTACACTGATCTTCCCAGTGAATGACTGTGCGTGGAGGGGCTGTCCATATCAGCAAAAGTCTGATCATTGGAGGAGAGCAGGCTGAGTTCCAGCACAGCTACAGTAGAAAACTGACTGCGCGTTGCTGTCATCCCTGGTGTGGTCAGTTTTAATAGGAAAGCATTAACACCAGGTATTTCATGCAAAGGAAGCAATACAAAGAGAACAGAATACATTTTCATGCAAGTACATGGTACAGCAGACACATATCAGAAATATGAAATTTTGGGTTGAAGTAGTCTATAATTTAAATATGTGCAAATGAAAAAGGATGAACCTTTTCGCATTACAGAGGCATGTGCAACATACTAGATATAAGTGGCTGGGTTTAGATACACCTCAATACATTTTCACAGCAGTAAAGCAGTGTCCTTTGTTACACTGCTTCTGTTTCTGGACAATTAAACACGTATGAGTGTGTTCTCTGTAATCTCTGTTCTTTCCTGTCTATGTTCACAGACTTGCCAAAATGCTTGAAGGAACGTCAGGAAGCTCTGGGAGAAGACGAGAAAGTGATAGGTCGTTTTGTTCCTGATTGTGATGAAAAGGGCGATTACCAACCACAGCAGTGCCATGGCAGCACCGGGTACTGCTGGTGTGTTAATGCAATTGGAGAAGAGATTGCTGGAACAAAAACTCCACCTGGACAAACACCGGCTACATGTGAAAAACATGGTAAGTTTTACAGTTTTACAATTTCTCTGCATATTTGCAACATCATATTGATTGACTCTGGAGAGGTCTTTGGTGAGTTTGGCCTTAGAAAAGCTATATACTGCCTTGCAGGCAAGATCGGAGTTATACTTCCTTCTTCCCTAGGCCAAGTTTTTGTGCTGCCACCCTCCTACCTATGTGGTCTCTCTAACCTTAGGCTAGGTTTACAACTATGCAGGTTGCATTTGAGCCATTTCTGCATTGCGTTTTTGATGCGTTTTGCATTTTTTTCTTCTTTAATACTTCATATTGCAAGGCAGATTTAAAACACAAAACGTATCAAAAATGCATAAAAAACACAGCAAAAACACAATACATGCTTTTCTGCAGCATTTCCATTGAAGGCTATAGAACCAAAAACGCAACTTTTTGCATTAAAAAAAGTCCCTGACCATTTCCAAGAAACGCACTAGGTGAAAATGCACAGATGTGAACCTGCCCCATAGGAAATCATGTTAAATGGACTGTACTGCATTTCTGCAAAACGCAAAACACTGCAGAAAACGCTTATGTGTGAACCTAGGGTTAATGTTTGTTGAAAAACTGTTGTCCTGAGATGGACTTGCAAAAGATTTCTTTGAAAATAGAGGAATTTATGTGAGTGATTTCAATGGGTTGCCCTACATGTATCTCATGGGTAATTTTAGCTTGATGTGGGTTGCATGTTTTTTACTGTGCACTTTGCTGCAATTTCCACTTGTTTCAAATGTGTGTTTGCTTCTGTTTTTGGTGTGCCATTAATAGTTAATGACACCAAAAGCAAAACTAGTTAATTTTAGGTGTATAAAGGTGGCCATACACTATACAATCTGGCTGTACAATCTCTGTACTATCTCCGTTAGATTTACCAAAACTGTATATGAGGAGGAGACACCATCTACCCAATCACTCTGTATCCAGTCAGAATCAGCCTCGATACCTGCCAGCACCTGCGGTTAGCCCCTATGCTTACCCTCCCTTCTCCCCCAGCAAGTGCAGTGTCAGTAGGTCACTGTCACTTGATACATTGCACATAAAACTGCAGTGTTCGCAGAATCAGGCCTGATCTCTGTTAGCACCTAGTAAATTTTTTGTAGTGGTTCAAGCAGTCCCTGACAACCAGGTGCTCTTTATCTAGTGAGTCACACTAGGTACCTGTGACGGAGGAAAGGCAGGACAGAACACATAGAGTGGATGACAGACGCACAAAGCTTTATTGAGACAAACAGACGGCAGTCCTTCAATACGGGGGGTGGCAGAGAGGGTGGATTTGCCACTAAAGGGTAACGAGAGGCCCCACCCACTTATAGTCCACTAGGAGAGCCAAGGGGGTGTCCCTGTAACAGGGGTAGTCCGACACAGGAGGGGGGTGCCTGGGGTCACCACCGCAACAGTTCAGGTAACATAGGGGGGAAGCAGGTATTCACAGATCCAATAGGGTGCCTGGTCTCCCAGGGGTAGAAGCAGAACACAGGTACCTGTGGAGTCCGGATCAGGTGGGTGGCCTCTGGCTCTGGCAGACGGGCTGTGGTAGTCTCTCCCCCTTCTGTGGGGTCTCTCGCAATTACAGGCAAGCTTTCTCTGGCCGCCTCTTCCCTCCTGTGGGGTCTCTGTGAGGCTGGGTTAGGCTTGCAGAGTCTAGTCAGAAAGGTCACGCCGGAGCTTGAGATCCTTTGCTGACTGCACACCGGAATGAAAACGGATAGCCTGGCATCAGCCTCTAAAACTGCTGCAGGATGCTCCCCGGTTGCCTTGGCAACCGGGTAGGGGGAAGGAAATACTAGACCCCAGGGAGAATTAGGCTGGTGACAGGGACATCCTGGGAAACAGGGATGATGTCTGCATAGATGAAAAGCAAGTTGGGAGATGTGCGGAGAGCTCCCAGCCAGCTGGCCGGGGAGGGGGCCCATAGTAATTTGATTAGGCCATTGAATTAGGCCATTTGGCCTAGTGACACAGGGGACAATTGGAACAATACAGAGCAGGACTCTGAGGGCATGTGATACAAGGCATTAATAAGGGGATTAATAATTGGCACGCTCCCATACCGTGACAGTACCTATAAATTTAGTGGCCAAAATGTCCAACGAAAGGTACTCTAGTGATGAGACCTACAGGATTCTGAGCATGTCAGGTGAGAGCGAAGTGGAAGACTCACTGTTACAATCAACCTCAAAATACAAACCTGTACACAGCAGCAGCACTCAGACAATGGAGAAGAGCTCCCTGCTAAAGTCAGGCAAACCCGACCCCGTTCCCAGGTTGCTGAGATGTTGCTTACAGTTTTACAATTTCTCTGCATATTTACAACATCATATTGATTGACTCTGGGGAGGTCTTTGGTGAGTTTGGGCTTTGAAAAGCTATATATTGCTTTGCAGGCAAGATCTGAATTAAACTTCCTTCTTCCCTAGGCCAAGTTCTTGTGCTGCCTCCCTCCTACCTATGTGGTCTCTCTAACCTTAGAATCACAAGATCAGAAGCCATATTAGGCATGCCAGTGCTGGGGTGGATAGATTAAGGCCTCATTCACACCACACGTGCAGAAAATCTGATGGAAAAAATGCACAGATTTCTCTTGCAGAGACACGAGTTTCCGTGAGTTTTCATACAAGTTTCAGTGAGTTTATAAACGTTGCAGATTCCTACACAGCAAAACATCTGCATGTGATACTAGTGTTCTGGTGTGAACGGGACACATAGTTACATAGTTAGTCTGGCTGAAAAAAGACAAAAGTCCATCCAGGTTAACCATAGAAAAAAAAAAGTTATAATCCTATACCCACAGTTGATTCAGTTGAAAAAATCCTTCCTGATCCCCCAAGAGGCAATCGGATATTCCCTGGATCAACTTTACCTATAAATGTTAGTATCCAGTTTATATTCTGTGTATCTAAGAAATAATCCAGGCCTTTATTAAAGCAATCCACTGAGCTGGCCAGAACCAACTCTTGATGAAGTCTATTCCACATTTTCACAGCTCTCACTGTGAAGAAACCTTTCCGTGTTTGGAGATTAAATTACTTTTCTTCCAGACGTAAAGAGTGCCTCCTTGTCCTCTGTGTTGACCTCAAGGTGAATAACTCTACACTGAGTTCACTATATGAACCACTGATGTATTTATACATGTTGATCATATACCCCCTTAATCTCCTCTTCTGAAGAGAGAATAAATTCAGTTCCTCTAATCTTTCCTCATAGCTGAGCTCCTCCATGCCTCTTATCAGTTTAGTTTCCTTTCTCTGTACTTTCTCCAGTTCCCCAATGTTCTTTTTGTGAATTGTTGCCAAAAACTGAACTGCATATTCCAGATGAGGTCTTACTAATGATTTGTACAGGGGTAATATGATATCTCTCTCTCTGGAGTCTATACCTCTTTTAATACAACAGAGGATTTTGCTCGCTTTAGAAGCTGTAGCTTGGCATTGCATGTCATTATTAAGCTTGTGATCTACCAGAACCCCCAGATCCTTCTCCACCATTGATTTCCCCAGTTGTACCCCCCCCTAGTATGTATGATGCATGCATATTCTTAGCCCCCAAGTGCATAACCTTACATTTATCAACATTAAATCTCATTTGCCACATAGTTGTCCAATTAAACAGTGCATTGAGGTCAGCTTGTAAATTGGAGACATCCTGTAAGGACGTTATTCCACTGCACAGCTTGGTGTCATCTGCAAAGACTGAAATGGGATTTTTAATCTCAGACCCTATATTGTTTATAAATATATTAAAAAGTAAGGGTCCCAACACTGAACCTTGGGGTACACCACTGACAACCCTAGACCATTCAGAGTATGAATCATTAACCTCTACTCTCTGAATACGATCTTTTAGCCAGTTTTCTATCCATTTACATATGAATTTTTCCAAGCCCGTAGACTTTACCTTACAAATTAGCCATGTGTGGGGAACTGAGTCAAACAGTTTTGCAAAATCCAAGTATACCTGTAATGATCTCGGCGTCAGACCCCAGCCCTTTTCACCAAACTCGTGACCAAAGAACTAGCCAATCTAAAACCGCGCTGTCACGTGCATAACAATGCCACGCCCAGCTGCACCCTGCACACAGATTTTCCAGCTAATGGACCACAACTTGTGTGCCGGCAGCCTGGGAGCGATTGTTACTGGGTCAGGTTAATTACGCAATAAACCCTTCACACTGCCACCACCTCCTTTTTGTACAGAGAAAGAGGAAACTCGGCAATATCATCAATTACACTATGATATTTGCATAAGCGTTGGTATACCACTGTCACTGCAGGCAGCGATATACTGAAGTTTAAAACACACAGTAGCGCTCTTTAGAGGCAGGGGTTCTTTAGTTTGCATTTAAGAGCTATAGAAACAGTTCAACACTTTCAGAAAGTAAGATTTATTACTAAAAGGTCAAAAGGGTGCAATAAAAATATTTACAAAAAAGATGTAGCCAATATATATATAAATATACAAAGAGCAATAACACAGCAAAGAGATAACAAAGGAATTTAGATAAAATACTTGCCAAAAGCCTTGGGGTAAGCAGTTTTCAAGTTCAGAGCAAAAGGGCCTTATCTCCCAAAGTTGGTTCCGATGTTAAAGGGGAGAGTCTTCAACTTAGCTCAACTCAGCTTAGCTTACCTTCAAGCATCACAGCCTTTATCTAGGAACTCAGCAGGGTGTCTCCCTGAAGCAGAGAACCAATCGCCTCATTTGGGCAGGTGTGGCAGGCAGAGACCCAAGCTATGACCAAAAATCCCTCCTAGCTTATATTATGGTTCATAACTTACCCTGGATACATATAACATTCTATCCACGAGTAGAGTAATAAGCAGAATCTTCTGCTGAACGTCTACATATGAAATATGAGATACATGCTGGGATGGTTAAGGAGATATTATTTTCTGCTCTCCTGTTGATCTCAGCTAGGGGATGTAATATACCAAACAATTTATATTAAAGTGAGCTGTCCGAATATGTGCTCCATGTTTATGTAGTTA